GACTTCCGTCTTCTGATACTCTCGCGATGAAATAGAAACACCTCTTTCGCAAACTCCTCTTCCCCGGGACTCACGCTCACTGAGTCCCCACAACGAGAGGGCATGGGAAAGACGTTACAGGGGGTGAACCTCTGATGACCCCCTCACAACCGGTGAGATGCTCCCTGTCCACCAAGTAGGGGCCAGGTGTGCTCCCCTAGGGGCCTGGGTCAGGTGCAGAGTTGGGGTTCCCTTTGTGCACGGGCTTGGCTGCATGGAGTTGAGGAGCAGTGAAGAGAATGGAGTCTCAAAGACGTGTTAGATGTGTCCCAGAAGGTAGTCAGAAGTAGGTCGGGGATGAGTTTCAAGTTGAAGTCTGAGCTAGAGCTGGCCAAAGATATGGGGGCCGGAAGGGACAGGAAAGTTGGTTTAGAGGTAGCAGTGAGGAATGGGCGTGGCGAGACCTAGAATCATTCTGAATTCAAAAAACTGTGGGCTGTGGGCGTTCTTGTCTGGTTTCTCTAACCTCGGGAGGAGATGTACTTTGATAATTGTGAGTCGGACGAAAATGGTTTCATCCATTGTTCCCTGACGATAGTTTCCGAAGTCCATGCCTCACATCAGGTTCACAGACAACTCAGCCGAGATTCAGAGTTGGGACCTGAACCACCAGATGCTCTGAGCCAAAAAGGCAGGTAGAGAACGTCACACACAGATCGCAACTTTGAAAGCGCGAGATATGAACAGCACACGTCCAAGGGGGCTGGTCCTAGGGCTAATAATAACAATGAAAAATGGAAAAACACTTCAACATTCCCCTCATAGGAACGGATTAGCTAAAATGTGGCACTTTCATATGACAGGGCAACCTTCACAAATGATTTGAACTGTATTTATTAATATGCAAAAAGGATGTAGGATAACTTAGTAAGTAAAAATGCACATTACCAAAATATAAAGAGCAGGGTCGGATTTTAATGGAAGGAAACACTTCTTGCGAGGGTACGCAAAGAAGGGCGTCTGAAGGGACGTTCCAAAGCTAGGCCTGGTTCTCTGTGCAGTGAGGCTGCTGGGCACTGATGTCTTTTTCTGCATGATCATTGGTAATTCTTTTTCTTCTTTTTTAACAGTAAACATGGAATTTTTTTTACATAATTATTCTTAAAAAGCAGAAAAGGCAAACAGTGCCGTTTCCCATTTCCTGCAGTGAGTGCATGAGCCACTTTCTCTCTTGCCTCATCCCCATTGTCCTTGAACTTGGGTTGTGCTGCTGTTGTCATTTTGGTTCCAAATCTCCTTCCTCTGCCCACGAATCAATCCATCCTCAGACACACAGGTGCTTTGAGGGGGTGCAGGTGCAGCCAGCTGGGGTCTGAGGAGCACAGAGGTGGGAATTCTGGAGTACGAGGTGAGCAGGACACCAGCCAGCCCCCAGGGAAAGAGGGCATCGGAGGGAGATGGGCGTTCAGCTAGGACGGGACTCTCCGAAGCCACTAGAGTGTGGTGTGAGGGTGGGCTGGCCCCGAGCAGAGAGAGGCCAGGCATGGACCCAACGGTTTGACCTTATGGCATCGCTGCACCCTCATTCCTTCCCCAGTGAACTCGATGCAGGACCTAATCTCAGATCAAAAGCGTCTTTGTAGGACTCGGATCTGTGGCTGCCGGCCCAGGCCGGGGTCCATCTCGAGAGAACTGGCTCCAGTTTCCCCACCTGCAGCTGGGTGTGAAATTCTAACCCCTCTGGAGGCTGTGCCTCTCACACTGCGTCTAACCCCGGGGGGTGTCTGACCTCTCGGGATCAAAGAAACTGCATTTCAAAGGAAAAGAATGTTACTGGGGATTAATGAGTTTGCATTTGTACAGAGATTAAAAACAAACATGTTTTATTTGGAGATGTGGAAGGACTCTAAGTTTTTGAATTCTAACGTTACAGCAAGCACACATAGAACCCCGACCAGAATGAGACATCTAAGTGAATGCAACATTTTAAGGCCCCAGAGACATTTCGCACTCCCCGGGGGGGTGGACCTGCTTCAGACGGTGCCCCAGGCCCACATTCACTGCTCTTTAAGACGCACTGGATGAACAATCACACAAGTGTCTTATCTCCCCGTTCCTAGAAGGGATGGATTACATCAAGGTCACTTACAAAGCAAGGTGCATAAATTACCGAGAGCCTCGCCTGAGCAGGTTTGGATGAGGTGGGGAGTTAAGTCATCTCCCACGATTTCCTACAGTGTTAGGTTTCTATTTGATCAAATGGTAAAACTGAGCCTCAGTGAAATGGAAATGACTCACCTCAGGTCACCCAGCTGGCAAAGTGACAGGAGCCAGATAGCCACCTGCAAGGCCAGTGGAGACCATAGCTCAGCCAAGGCACCTTTAAGACACAAAGCGGTTCCCTAGCCAAGGTGGTAGGATGGCAGCCGCGTGAAGGACCATGCTGTTAAAAGCCTTCGTTTCTCAGAGAATGGAATTTTCTCATAGAAATGATCACATTCTCCTGAATGTATTTCTGTAATACTTGGATGGTTCTAATCAATATATTTTCTTAATTGTGTTTTTCCAAAAGTTTCCAATGGTTATTCTTTAGACACGAAGCCCAAATAACAGCCCTTGGTCCGATTTTGACCTCACCCACCTACCTGCCTGATTAGCTGGCTTCCAATAAAGCTGGCTACTGGAAGAGGGGACACTGGCCTAGCTGTCAACCCAGCATTGTCCACCTGATTTTCTATTTCTCAGTATAAGTGAACGCAGCTCAACAAATTGTTTCTCCTCCTCTCCCCAATCCTTCCTAGGACCGAGCAAACAGAAAGGAGCATTATCCAGTGCAAGTCAAAGCAGAGAAAAGAAGCAGTCTCTTTTAGCATAGGGACACACAGGCGTTGGTTCACCCTTAACCATGCACAGGCTGGCTGGTCGGTGCTTGCCCCCATGGCAGACAGCTAGTTAGGGCTTCTTCATTTATTGCTGTGTTACTGTTTCCTTTGCAAGGGACAGAAATCCAACTTCCACTGGCTTAAGAATCAAAATTTGGGTGCATTTTTAGATGAATAGAACTTAGAAAGCCAAAGATAGAGGTCTGGCTGGCTTCAGGCATGGCTGGATCTAGGCATTCAAACAATGCCATTTGGCCTTTTCTGACTGTTCTCATTGTTTTTGTATGTGTGTATGTGTGCTGACCTTATTCTTGGGCAGTGTCTTTGCATGCAGTGGTCCTGGCAGTGCCAAAGTTCTGTCCTCTAGTTTGGAAATCAAGCAGAGAAATTTCTCAGTAGTTCCAACATAAGTCCGAGAATTGAATCTCATTGGCTTGGCTTAGATCACGTATTTATGTCTGAACCAATAGCTGCAGCCAGAGGGTGGAATATGCTGATTGGTCTGCCCTGACTCACATCACTGCCCCCCTCCCCACCACAGAGCTGGGAACCACACAGAATGACAGAGGGGAGCAGTGGTTGCCCAGAGGAACACACAGGCCACTGTAGAAGGAAACATGGACACTTGACATGGGGACAAAACAGAGGCCCAGTGCTCCATCTGAGGTCCCCTTCAGCCTGATCTGGGGGGGAGCAGAATGGAAAGAAACTGACTGAGTGTTAAACTGAAAGCAAAGGAGAAAAGATGGCACGGTGAGGGTGCAGTGGGGGGTTAGATTTCAGGGACTGAGGGCCCAGAGGAGGGTGCAGCGAGAGGGCACCGCCTGCCCCTGGGCTGGGGGAAGAGCTGGGTCAGAAGAGCTGGACTCTATGGATCTCAGCACGTGGCCTCAGCACAGGGCCGCTCAGCACGTCCTGGATTTAGCGTGGCCTGAGTGAGGCAGTCATTTAAGGGAGTGGATTTCACCACCCCACCCACCCTGATGTTTAGGGCAAGGTAACAGGAAGAAGAGACAGGGAGAGAAAGAGAGAACATCAATTTCTTGTTCCCCTCATCTATACATTCATGGGTTGATTCTTGTATGGGCCCGACCGGGTTCAAGGCCCACAACCTCGGGGCATCAGGACGATGCTTTATCACCCAGGACGGGGACTGTTTTCTTTCCTGCTGTGCTGTTCGTACCCGTCAGTCCCATGTTAGTCCTGTTAGCTTGAGTCACCTTCCTGGCAACCGATTGCCTCCACACAAACTAATGAGATTAAATTCCTGGACCCACGCAGCTGGGAATCCGACCTTGGACGCCGGTAGATTCCTGCCCCATGGAAGGCCCCTTGGCCGGCAGCCAGCAGGCCTGCCTGACCCCAGCCTGCGTTTTGCCTCCAGGCCCCCGAACCTCCTTATAGCACTGCGCCAGGGTTCCAGGGGACCGCAGGCAGAGCCCCCAGCACGGGGCTCCCTCAGCGTAGGCCAAGTAAGTGGCCGCTGTCCTCATTGCTTACGCGATGTGCCCAGCACAGGACTAATGGTAGCTACTATTACATATGTGAAGGGCACAGCAGGTACCGATGAGAAGCTCGGGAATCGGTAACTATACATAGGCTGTTCGGCTGGGCTTCCCCACCCCTGCTACTCAGAATACTTTCCCATCTCTCTTTTTCACGGGCCACCTGCTTACAAATGTGTTCAAAACACAAACATTTCCCCCACCGATCCTGACATCCAAAAGATTTCATCTGAGACCGCCTTTGGTCGTGTTTCTCAAAGTGGGGTCCCCCGGTCCACCTGCGTTAGCATGACAATGTTTGCTCACTGTGCAGGTTCTCAGATCCTGTCCAGCCTGCTGGGTTGGCCTCTGGGTCTGGGGGCTGGAGATCTGCACGTTCAAAGGCCCCAGCAGCGGGCTGGTGGTGGCGGCGGAATTGCTCATGCATCCCAAACTCACGAGTCACGTCTTCTGTCCGAAGGCACCGCTGAGGCACCTGGCCCCAGAAGGAAAGCTCTGATTCACGCCCCGGCCCTGCCCACTTTGGCCGTTCTATCAGGTAATTCAAAGTCTCCCGGCCTGCTCGTTACTGATTAACTCCAGGAAAGAAATAATAATGACCGAAGAGACAACACAAGCCCAGAGACAAGCCGAGCCTCCCTGGGAGCGTGGTGCCAGACAGCTGCTGTCACCAGGCACCTAACAAGAAGGAAAAAGGCTTCATACGCCCCACCTCACCAAGGTCAGACTACATCTGTGTCCCAGCAGCACCTTGTCCATGCCCCCGGGCCCTAAGCTGCCAGTCCCGCCGGCTCCCATGTCCAGAATGGCCTGCACCGAGGTCCCACAGCAGCCAGCCCCACATCAGCCCCAGCCCATCTCCGCGGGAGCCACCACCACCGACACCAAGGGCCCTGCTGGGAGTCACTGCGGCTTCTCGGAGCACGACCTGGAGTGCCTGGTGTGCCGGGAGCCCTACAGCTCTGCCCGACCGCCCAAGCTGCTGGGTTGCCAGCACTGCTTCTGCGCTGTCTGCCTGAAGCTCCTGCTGTGCGTGCAGGACAACACCTGGTTCATCCACTGCCCTGTGTGCCGCAAGGCCACCACGGTCCCCGGGGGCCTCATCTGCAGCCTGCGTGACCAGGAGGCCGTGGTGGGGCAGCTAGCCCGGCCGTGCCCAGAGATGCGGCTCTGTCCTCAGGAGCTGGAGAATCCTGTCACCTTGACGGCAGGGCACCCCAGCTTGGCGGGAGAGGATGGGCAGGACGTGGTGAGTGTCAACCGCATGGCAGCGCGGCGCCTGGTGGCACACGTGCTCCTCCTGGCCTTGCTCATCGTCCTCATCCTGCCCTTCGTCTACCCCGGCGTCATGCAGTGGGCACTCACCTTCATCATCGCCCTGGCCCTGCTGATGTCCACCCTCTTCTGCTGTCACCCCAGCAGCCAGGGCAGCTGCCGGCCGGCCCCCAGGACTCTCTTCAGCAGCGAGCAGAAGCACAGCGAGATTTCTTCCATTGCCTGACCACGCGCCCACATCACCGTCTGCCTCTGTGTCCCACAGTGGACAGGGTAAGGATCTGTGAAGTAAGACTGGCTCCCGCAGGAGAAGAAATGCCAGTCAGACCTGCAAGCTAAAGCCAGAATGGCTGTCTTGGGTCTAGAACTACGTGCTCGGGCGATAGACTTATGCCTGCCCCAGGGACGGCACAGCTGCACCGTTTGGGGTGGCGAGGAGGCACAGCGGACTTGCATGCTGCCAGGGAGGACCCCCTGTTCCTCTCCTTCCGAAGCTCCGGGTTGTCCGCTCAATGCCTTGGTGAAAGTATTGCAATAGTAATGTTACTGAAAAGTAAATAGAGCCAGAAACTCCTCTTTGTTTATTTCCAATTTATGTAGCCGGTTGTATTTTATTGCTTGGTTTTGGATTGGGTTTTTGTGTTTGGCGGAGTTTGTTCATATTTCTGGCTGCTACACATTTTCCCTCCTGAGAAGGCAGAGCCCATGGGAAGCCCTCCTGTATTCTGCAACCTTCCCCCCAACCCCCCGCCAATGCTGCCCATCTCGTGCCCACCCCACCTTGCCAACGGTCCTGGCCATTTGGGTCCTCCACTGAGTTGTCCTGCCCTCCTTTTCCCTAAGAATGGAGAGAGAGAGAGAACCTGTGTGAGGAAGTGGTGCTTCTGATGGCGCTGGGAAAGTCCCACGTTTAGTTGACAGAGCTGGGGAGGGTGGAGGGGATGCAGGTGAGTCTTGGACTATCCCCCACCATCCCCACCAGGATTTCCCAGCTCCGTGATATCCGGCGCTGACTTAACAGAGAATCTCGGAGTCACGAGGGCTTCCCCCAGTGTGGCCCAGCTGCCCACCTGGTGCGCAGTCCCACACCCCAGAACCAAATCTTTTGGGTGCTTCTTGCTTTATTATTGCATCTCGAGTCTCCTTTGAGCTTTTGTCATAAAGATAAGGAGCCTCGTAAATGCAACAGTCCTCTCCGACAACCCCACATTTCCCGCCTCACCCTGAGAGTCAGGGTCATCAGAGAGGCTTTCATGTCTTTTCTCAGTCATTTCTGCTCTGTCACCTAGAGGAGGCTTCTGCTGGAGGGAACGACCTTCCACGCTCGTCCAGGTCGCGCCTCAGCCAGGAGGGCCCATGGGGTGCAGGGCAGCGGAGGGTGAAAGCAGACGTTACTTCCTTCCAAAGGCCCCGTAATCGAAACCTCAGAGGGACTCACTGAGCGAGCGCAATCCACTGCCCTGCCCCCCCCCCCCTCCTGGAGACTCGTTATGGTGACGGTACATCTGTCAGGGACAGAGACAAGAGCTCTGCTGCTGGAGCACGGGTCGGCCCTGCGTTCCGAACAAGATCTCGCCTCTCAGAGCCTCAGTTTCCCCAGAATGAGCTAGTAGAACTGGACTATTCCTAACACCCCTGCAGCCCAGAGCTGAGGGCACACACTGGGACCCCGAACAATGGACATGCACACGTGCATGGGTCACATTCCCTGTGACCTCTCACAAAGAAAAGTCAAAATGTTAAGAATGGATGATGCACTTAGCTGTCCTTGACATCTGGAGGCCTTCCTCTTTCTCTTAGGAGGCCCCCCAGGGTAGCTCTGCAACCCCACGCTGTGGGCCTTGTTGACTGCCGGTGCTGAGAAAGAGCGTGAGTGTGTACGTGAGTTTGTGTCACGCACGCTGTCAAGCCAAGGCCAAGTGGGCCTGAAGAACACCTTGTCCCCCAGGATGAGTGAATGGCAAGAACGGCTTGGCATTTCCTGACCTGGCCTTGGGCATGCGGTTCTGGGGTGGGAGCCAATAGGAAAGGGAAAGAATGTTCTCTCCCCACTTACAACCACTCCCATTTCATCTAGTTCTTGGACCCTCCGCCGACAAGAAAACCTTTACCAAGATTAACGACAACGCTGTTTCTACCTTAATAATGGTGGCCGCATGTTTACTGAGTTTTTGCTTTGTGCCAAGCCCTGCCATACTGCCTTAAATAACAACCTATGCAGCAGAGACCATTTGCTGATGAGGAGACTGAGGATCAGAGAGGTACATTCATCTGCCTCTGGTTGCACAGCCAGCCGCTTTCAGAGCTCACCGGGGCATTCATCCAGGGCTCTCTCTGCTCTGTCACGTTGCATCCTTTGTGTGCAGTTCCAGCACCACCAGGAAGCTGGTTGCCACCTGTGGGTTTATGAGGGAGAACAGAAAACTAAGCTCAGGAGCCCCCCAAAGCCCAGTGGTCAGACACTCGGAGAGGCTAGAGAATTCCAGAACCTGTTGTCTGTGCTAAAGAGAAAGAAAAGACAGTGACACGAATGAGATGGTTCTTCTGCAGGCTTCTACCACCCAGGCCCGGCCTCTCCTGCAGGGAGCCCTGTTGTCACACGGTCCCCAACCAGCGGGCCCCCGTCCCCCTGAGTAAAGATGTCCTGACACCGCTGTCACCATGACCCTCCAAGCCCAGCTGGTCCCAGAGACCCCCTGGCCCCTTGCAGTGCGGGAGCAGAGAGCACCAGAGGCCGATACCCGCTCAGGCTGCCCAGCAGGGGAGCAGAGGAAACAGGTGGCGTTGAGAACGCGTGTGAGTGGAAGCGACCCGAGAGGCAGGCCAAGGTTCAAAGCTCAGTGCTGACCCAGCGTGTGACCAGTTACAGAGCATCCCTGGGCCTTCAGTTGCTCACGGTAAAGTTGAGGAGGACATCTCCCAGAGTCTCCCTGGCCGTTCAGACTGCTCCTGGCCGAGAAGCCTGTCTCCTAACGGGTTGCCTTTATCATCCATCATGGACCCCCTTGGGGGATGGGTTTCTTGCGGCCTGTCCAGCGTGAGAGTCAGCGGAGACCTGGCCTTGATGATGGGGTGGACAGGTCAGTCCAAAGCGGAGCACTGCCCAGGACAGGCCAGTCTTGTGGAGAACTCCGTGCTTGGGTTGTAAGGGGAGGTCTGCAGGATGAAGAAGAACTGTGGGGGTGGGGGGTGGAGCAAATCTCATCCCCATCAGACGCGTCTCCCTGATCTGTGGCCTTGGAGTGAAGCACATCTGGCTCGAAGTCCAGCTTCACCACTTGCAAGTCACTTTACCTCTCGGAGTCCCAGGTTCCTTACCCGTGAGACGGAGCTTAGAATCCGTGCTCCAGAGGGCTGCTGGGGGAGTTCATGAAGTAGCCCACGACTGAGCACTTAGGGTCACCAGGAGGTAAAGCAGAAAGATGAAAAGAGGGGGAGAGGGAGCTGGGCTGAGTTGCAGAAAGCCCTAACAAGATGATGAGAGCAGACTCCCCTTGTGTTATTCAATCATTGATAAGGAAGTTTATTAAAACCTGGCCACTATGATTCATTTCTCCCAAGACCAGCCTCAGCATCAGCAGTGTCGTCAGCAAAATATAATAAAACAATAATGACATGATGGTTTGACATGGCTAACGTGATTGGAATGCCCTGTGCGAAGTATATTACATGCTAGCACACATGCTCTAAGGTAGGCACTAGTATCACCCCCGAATGACAAACAGGAATCCCGAGGCACAGAGAGGTTCAGCAACTCGCTGGAGATCCCACAGTGAGGCCATGGTGGGGCCAAGGCTAGACCGCAGGAGTCTGGCTCCAGAGTATGGACTTTGAGTCACTTGGCTTCATCAGAAGGAACATCTCTGGTCCATCATAAGTGCTCGAGGTATGTGGTCCGCCTGGCCGGAAGGGTGAAGAATTAAGAAGAAATATCATTCCTCCGTGTGGTTACAGCTTCCTGACTTAGTGGGTGCCTGGGACAGAGGGCTGTGGGGGCCTACCTGTCCCATTACCCACCTCCGTGTTCTTATCTTCCAGCCCCCGTTCGAGGACGCCTGGAGGAAGTCCGTCAGCCTTGGCTAGAACAATGAATTCTTTGTCGCTGGCAAAGGACAGCCTTTCCAGGAATGAAAAAACGTCCCTCCAGTTTCTCAGAAACAGCATAGAGCACATTCAAAGAGAAATCAGATACCCGCTCTCGAAACAACCTGGGGCGATTTTTATGAACTTTCTATTCTGGTCAGAAGATCTCGGGATCACTGTTCAAACAGGGGCAATGTTTCCCAGGTCCGTAGAGAACTCTGAGGAACTCCGAACGCCGGGAAACCTAGGATCCGTCCACGTGTTCGTTTGTTCAGAAAATATGGTTTGAGCCTCTGCTCCGTTTCAAGTACCGAGCAGGGTGCTTAATTTACTCAACAAGGAACTTTGATGAGGAAAGAAAATTAGTATGTGCAAAGCACCTGTTATGGCTTAAATTGTGTCCCCCTGCCGAAAAGAAGACAGGGCGAAGCCCTAACCTCAGGATGCGATCTCATTTGGAAATGAGGTTTTTGCAGAGACAAGTTAAAGCGAAGTCATTAGGGTGGGCCCTGAAACAGAATGTCCTTATAAAAAGGGGAAACTGATGACCTTACAAAAAGGGGAAATTTGGACCCAGAGATAGACAGACGCAGAGGGAAATTGATGTGAAGACACACAGAGAAGCTGTCACATGACAACGAAGAGACCAGACTGATGCAACAGCAGCCAAGGAAAGCCGACAGTGGCCAGCAAGCCACCTGAAGCTAGGAGAGAGGCGTAAAACAGGTGGTCCCAGAGTTCTCAGCAGGAACCAGCCCCGCTGACACCTTGACCTTGGACTTCCAGCCTCCATACTGTGTGAGCCCACGCATTCCTGTTGGTTAATCAGCAAGGAGTGTGGCGCCTTGTAGGGCAGCCCTAGGAAGCCAGTAGAGTAGCTTCCCTGTGTCTGTGCTTGCACCATGCCCCTTGGCTGGTCCACTTCAAGTTCAGATAAAGAACTTACCCAGAGTCTTGTAGCATGTAAGAGGCAATGTTGAGCTCAAAATTGAGCCTGATGGACTCCCAAGATTAGATCTTACTGTTCCCATTTTGTGGGTGAAAAACCGAGGTTCAGAGAAGCCCTGATATCCTTCCCCATCGAAAAAAGTGCCCAAATATCAAAGATGGAGCTGGAATCTGAACCCACAGTTCCTAAATTGTCTTTAGTCTTTGCAACAACCATATGGGATTTACTGAACCATAACCCCCTGTCTCACAGATTAAAGAGTTCAAACCCTGGGCATTGAGGCACTTAGTCGACCGAGGTCACAAGCGAGTGAGTGAGGGGCCAGGATGAACCAGCTGACTCCAAACCACACCCACACTTCCCACTGCCACGCGCTGCTTCTGTCCGTAGCCCCTCGGCACTCAGAGGCAGGCCAGAGTGTCTTTCGGGACACCCGAGTCCCCATCGTGAGAGCTTGTGTGCTCAAAGAGAACAAAACTGTGCTGGACATTTATCTTCTTTTCTTTCTCTTGACTGTCTTATATTCAGCTGCTCCCCCCGCACCCCCACCCCATTGACC